GTGCCGCCACGGGACGGGGGCCAATTTTACACTCCTATTAATGTGAATTTTAACATGTCAATGTGAATATTCACATTGTCAACGGGCCGGGCCGGGCCGAGTCGGGCCCGCCCTGGGCTGCTGTCTAGTTTTATACTCTTATCAATGTGAATTTTAACATGTCAATGTGAATATTCACATTGTCAACGGGCCGGGCCGGGCCGAGTCGGGCCCGCCCTGGGCTGCTGTCTAGTTTTATACTCTTATCAATGTGAATTTTAACATGTCAATGTGAATATTCACATTGTCAACGGGCCGGGCCGGGCCGAGTCGGGCCCGCCCTGGGCTGCTGTCTAGTTTTATACTCTTATCAATGTGAATTTTAACATGTCAATGTGAATATTCACATTGTCAACGGGCCGGGCCGGGCCGAGTCGGGCCCGCCCTGGGCTGCTGTCTAGTTTTATACTCTTATCAATGTGAATTTTAACATGTCAATGTGAATATTCACATTGTCAACGGGCCGGGCCGGGCCGAGTCGGGCCCGCCCTGGGCTGCTGTCTAGTTTTATACTCTTATCAATGTGAATTTTAACATGTCAATGTGAATATTCACATTGTCAACGGGCCGGGCCGGGCCGAGTCGGGCCCGCCCTGGGCTGCTGTCTAGTTTTATACTCTTATCAATGTGAATTTTAACATGTCAATGTGAATATTCACATTGTCAACGGGCCGGGCCGGGCCGAGTCGGGCCCGCCCTGGGCTGCTGTCTAGTTTTATACTCTTATCAATGTGAATTTTAACATGTCAATGTGAATATTTACATTGTCAACGAGCCGGACTGGGCCCGTCCATGGGCCGCGGGCGGGTTTCGCGCCGCCACGGGACGGGGGCTAATTTTACACTCCTATCAATGTGAATGTTAACATGTCAATGTGAATATTCACATTGTCAACGGGCCGGGCCGGGCCTGCCCCGGGCTACGGGCGGGCTTTTGGCCGCCCATGGGCCGTGGCTCAATTTTATACTCTTATCAATGTGAATTTTAACATGTCAATGTGAATATTCATATTATCAACGGGTCGGACCGAGCCCGCCCGGGCCGCCTATGGGCCGCGGACGGGTTTCGCGCCGCCACGGGACGGGGGCCAATTTTACACTCCTATTAATGTGAATTTTAACATGTCAATGTGAATATTCACATTGTCAACAGGCCGGGCCTGCCCTGGCTCGCGGGCGGGTTTCGGGCCGCCCACGGGCCAATTTACATTCCTACAAATGTGAATTTTAAAATATGAATGTTCGCATTATTAAATTGCTAATCGTTGAAAAAATATTTATAAGGGTATCAAAATTAAATATAAGGGCATAAGTGTCCAGAAAATAGTGTAAATCAAGAAAATGGACTTTATGGAATAAAACTATACATACATGAGACTTAATGGGTTAAAAAATTCCTTCATGAATTTCTTAGGTTAAAACACTTCTAAATTGGACTTATCAATAAAAATCTCAATTTAAAACTATCAAATAAAATTTAGAGCTATCATTGTCTAATCATTTTAATTTGTCAAACACCATCTAAGAAAAAATATTTTTAAAAATCTTATCTTATAATAACTTACTTTTTTTAACAGTGTTTCAAAAACACTTGTTAAAGAAATTAAAAATAATTATACGTTATTTATAAATATAGACAAGGAACTATTTTAAGTTTTGCTAACAAATAAGTAATTCATTAACAATCAACAACATCTACATGTTATATAGACAATTACCAAAAATGGGATATTCCCAAATTTCAGGCCTAAGCCACCTTGCACTATCCCAAATTTCAGGCCTAAGCCACCTTGCACTAGACATTTTTGCCCAAAATTATCGGATTGAATAGCTCCAAGTATGTGGATGTTAACAAGTCCACATTAAATGGCCCACCCATATATCTAATTCCGACCCATCGAAATTAAGGATTTGTAGGATATGCATTAATACTGCAATATGTGGTGTTATCGGTTAATTTGCTTGACTAAATGAGGTGAGATATGATTGATTTTGATAATAACAATGATTTTAAAACACAGGCCTTCTAATTTTTTAGAAGATATTTATATAATTATAATTATTAAATTAATTTCGTAATTGTTGACTTTTGATGAATAGTGTTAACTTTTTAACTTTTTGAGTAATTTTTTGACTTTTTGACTTTTTTTAAAGTCCCCAAACTTGACCTAAATGGCCCACCCATATATCTAATTCCGACCCATCGAACTTAAGGATTTGTAGGATATGCATTAATACTGCAATATGTGGTGTTATCGGTTAATTTGCTTGACTAAATGAGTGAGATATGATTGATTTTGATAATAACAATGATTTTAAAACACTGGCCTTCTAATTTTTTAGAAGATATTTATATAATTATAATTATTAAATTAATTTAATTTTTGTTTATGAATAATATATATATATATATATGGTTTTAATAAAGGGGGAATTACGGTAATTCCATATCAAATTCATAAAATAATTTATATTTTTAATTATTAATCTCTATAAAATTCATACTTCTTCATAATTATCTTTTAAAATTACAACTGAATTTCTCCTTTTATAAATTCATGGATAAACCCAATTAGCCGGAACTGCACGGTACACACTATTACGAGCTAGAGACAACTCATTCTCATAACAAATCCATTGGCCGTAACTGTACGGTCCACAGAAGAGTGGATTGGACTGGACTGGAGGCAATTTGTTCTCATAAGCCCATGGTCCGACACTACACGGTCCACACGATAGTGGACTGAAAACAATCCATTCTATTCAAGAAATTAGTTTCTAGTCAGTTAGGTAGCCCTAATATCGAAGCAGAGGCCCTACTCTTTCAGAGTAAGAAAGGGTAGACAAAATGTTTTGAGCTAATATTCAAGTAGGACGCGTTACGGCGCTAAAGTAATCCATACCATATTTTGAGAAAAAAAAAAAAAAACTCTCCATGTACCTAAAATTGACACAGTGAGTATATAGAACTGCCTATAAAATAGTCCTGTAAGTTTAGAAAAATTATTAGTTAATTAAGGACGTTACGTGATCGTGCTTAATCACAATTCACCATATATTTAATATTTGTTAATCACTCCCTTCACTAATCACAACTCAAACTAATCAATAACTTTTCATAACTCAACAATGATAGAAATCACTAATTTTGGAACTCTAAAAAGACCACTAATGACATGACACTCAATAAAAAAAGAATAAAAATACAATACCAAGATTAAAATATCAAATCGTTCATGATGGAGCCCACTACCACATCATTAGTGATAGTTGCTCTCACTCATTTTCCTTCATAACTTCACCAGATATTTAATATTTGTCAAGTATCCAATCCAACACACATTTGTATCCAATCCAACACACATTTGTGACTCTCTTCACCAATCACAACCCAAATCAACCAATAACTTTTCAAAATTTTGGGAGAAGGGGTGTCGACTAGGACTATCAATGGATCTGATTTAATCCAAATTTGATCCAAATTTGATCCGAAAAGTCGAATCCATTTACAAAAAATTCGATCCGATAATCTGAATCCATTTAATCCGTTTATTAATAGATTGAATATGTAAAAATCTGATTCTGATCTAATAATCCGTTAATTCTCAATTTGAATGAAGAAAACACAAAATAAAAAAAAATTATATAAAATTATAACTCAATAAATAAATAAATAGACATGATCAGATTATTAAGGCCAAGTTTGGCAAGTCCATAAAAAGTAAAAAAAATCAAAAAGTTACTCAAAAAGTTAAAAAGTTAACATTATTCACCAAAAGTCAATAATTACGGCTGCACAACTCCCAATCATAATTTTCTCCTATAAATCAATTTTTACAATTTTTTATTGCACATTTTTTTATAAAAAGTCAAAAAATTTACCGAAACATTCATATTTTTTTTCTCAATTTTTTAATCTAAAAAGACAAAAAATACACTTATTTAGAACACCCCAAACAATCCCTAAATCAAACATCCGAAATGGTCGAATTCAAATCTGCGTGATATATAATCGGATATGAGTGGGGGTGTTTGTTTCAGCTTTTCAGAGTCAACTTATGGCTTTTAGCTTTGAAAAAGTTATTTTGGACTGTTTGGTTAAAGTTATTTCAAACAGGTTCTGATTCTAACAGCTTATTTTAACTCAAAAAAGTTGATTCTGAGAAACTGCTCGCCCCTTGCTTCTGATTATCAGCTTCTGCTGTGGACATGTTAATTTATGGTTATACTCTTAAATTTTTTTATTTTTTATTTTTTTTTAAAATAGAAAATGACTCAAATGGACTATAGATTATTATTATTATTTTTTATGAGAAATGTAGACAAATAAAATATAAAAATTAATTAAAAAAGTTATTTCACAACTTATTTAACAAACACTACTCAGCAACTTAAATCTATAATCCAACAATTATACTAAACAGATTAATAACTTCTTATTAAAATTACAATTTATAATTTATTAAGATATAATGTATAATCTGTTTAACGGTTACACCAATCGGGGTCAGTTTGTCTTAATTGGATCGAAATTGGATTTTGACGGATCCGATCGAATCCCATCCATTTACAGGCCTACTTGTCGACTACCGAACCGACTATTGAGCGAAACCCCTTTTTCTCTCCGTTGCCTCCAACAGCGCCGGCGATTTGCAAGTGACCAAAAATCAGGTCTCTCTCTCTCTATCTCTCTCTCTCTCTCATCCGTCAATCTCCCTTAGCATTTTTGGTTTGTACGCTAGGCTCTGATTTTTTACCCCCAAATTTCAGTTTTGCTGCTTGATGGATGACTCCGGTTTAAAGCTGGGATAACACAAATGTTGTGCTCTTGTAGTGGTTGTGATATTACATTTTTTTTCTTAGTTTGTTGAAGCTCTGATTTTGTCTTTGTTCTTATTTTGGGTAAGAAACCAGATGCTGTATGTAGATAAAAATTAACCTTGTAAATGGGTCCAATGGTATGCTATATTCCGTGTCTTCTGAATTCATCTCTAACATGTGCTCTTTTTCATGCCAAGTTATAATAATGCTAAAATTTGGCAAGAGCTGTTCTTTCTATTTCTCTCACAATGGAACCCACAAATGGCAAACTAATAACAAAAGTCAGATCTTCTACTGGCCTTTGTCTATACAATTATGAGCATTCATTAGCTTTTGCTTTGGCGGTTGCTATGTTTTCATCTCTACATTCCTGATGAAATTGTTAAATTTTGGTTTTATGCAATTGGGTTTTTCTTTTTTGGGTTAATTGTGTTATAGTTTTAATACAATGTATTATTGACATAATTACCTTGTCACTGTTTGATTTTGGTTGACCCTTTAACTTGGTTCTCTTAATGGCGTGGCTTACAAAACGTTAGCTTTATATTGAAGTGAAAATGCAGTTGGTAGGTAGTATGTAAATATATCTGCATACATATCTTGTTGGAGAAATGGATGTATCTGTGACTCTGGGCATTAAGGGGGAGGACAACAACAACGACGAAAACAATGTGGGAACAGGGTACAACAACAACAATGTCAAGAAGGCAAGGTTGCATTCAATGCTGGCTGCTCTTCTTGATGATCCTATCCTTGCTGACGTGCCAAAGAAGCCAGCGCTGTCAGACGTGGATACTGTCATCAGCTTGGAACTCGGCAGTGCCATGCGCATCTCCGTCCTTAAATTGGACCACACTTCCATTCGTACTTTAAAAAGACACGCCCTCTTTTTACCATCTAGTCATTTGAACAAATATGTTATGTACATGAGTGCTAATGATTGTTGATTGATTGGATTTCCATTTGATGAAGATGTGGCAGTGATGAATTCTGCAACTGTGAAGGATTTGAAACTGGCAATAAAGAAGAAGGTTAACGGCATGGAGCAGTCCACGATGGGTCATCGTCACATTTCTTGGTACGTCTATATATGTGTATCTTTGGAATGTCACTCATAGATTCATAATAGTAATAAACAATCACTTGAGATCAGCTTGGGAAGTTTCTTGAAGTGACAACTGAGAACTTTTTATGGCTTATCTTGTTCTAACATTTTCGTTCATTGAAGGCTCTATAACTTTTTTTTGGGGCTGCAACGCTCTATAACTTATTGTAGATGGTCCTTAGCTTTTGAGTTTGTGCTTGTAATATGGCAAAAATTGTTCTGTCTAGTCGCTGTTCTAACTGTATTCGGTGAATAAGATCACAATCCCTATATTAAAACTGCCACAATTTATCACATTTCCTTTTCGCATGAATTTAAACGGATTTTTATTTATTAAAATTTGTAATTGAGAGCTATACATGATAATCTCAAAACAATTTTTGGCTGATGATACCTTCTTTTTTTTTGATAATTTTTTTTGGGGGATGTGATACTTCAAATTTTTCGTTATATCATATATTTCCTATCATGTCAGCTAATTCTGAAGTTTTTTTGACAAATTTTCAAATAATGGCTACCTTTTTTGTCATTAAGGCTGTTGTTCCAAGTTTTATCTTCTTCTCCTAATTTCTGATAGGTTTGCTTTGTAATTTGATTCCAAATGCTTTTAATATTTCTCTATTTCTCCTTGTGCTTCGACAATGAAGCAATGAGGCTGGTGTAAAAAAGCCAGGTGTTATTTTTCTTTCCTTTTTTCTTCTTTTTGTCTGCTCTTCAAATTTCTTCATTGAAAAGAGTGCTGGAGGTTGGATTTTCATTGCACTTAGTACTATTCCTGGTTTAACTATGTGAATCACTTATTTTTTTTATTTACAGGAAGCATGTCTGGGCAAACTTCTGTCTTTCCTACCATAACGAGAAGTTGCTTGACAACTCTGCCCTGCAAGATTATGGCATGCGTAACAATTCTCAGGTATTTAGTTCTATAACTTTCCCGTGATCTAACTGTGAGCTCTCTTCATTTATCAAGTGCAGGGCATTTTTGTTATTTGGAGGAATTTTTTAAGCACTAAACATTACATGGATTCCACTATGATACGTTTGAATGAAAACAGATGCATTTGATTATTCCTCAAAAATTGAATTGACTGTCATATTTTCTAGATCATTCCATGTTGGGAACTGTTCACCACTAGTAGCAACATTTTAGAGTAATGCAATCATAATTGATTTACATACTGTATATAATATGCATGTTCATGTTTCTGTCAATAACGGTGTCTTGTATTGATTTGTATTTGTCTTCATGTGTTGTATATTTGCCTTGGTTTATAATTAAATGAAACAAAAACTTTAAGGGTGTGTTTGTTTGGACGGTCTGGATAAGAGGGATTGTAATCTATTGGACTGTTAGTCCTGAGATACATTGTCCCCAGACTATTTGGTTGGATTGGATTTGTATCCTATATTTGTTTAGTCATGGGATTAGATATCTGGATTGAATTATTTTTAGTGAATTCAATGTTTGGTTGGATGGACTAGACAAGGATGAATGTTCAAAAGATTATTTTACCCTTGTAATTTATAATTTTTATTTAATCTATAATTTATAATTTAACAACACTAAAAAATTTTAATTTATAAGGTCATAATTTTTAATTTATTATTTTCAATTAAATTAAATTTATAATTTATATTTTTTATTTAATATATAATTTTAAATTAACGACAATAAAAAAATAATTTTATTTAATATATAAATTAAATTTTCAACAACACTAAAAAAATTTAATTTATAAGGCCATAATTTATAATTTATTATTTTTAATTAAATTAAATTTATAATTTATAATTTATATTTTTATTTAATATATAATTTTAAATTAACAACACTAAAAAAATAATTTATAAATGTTCAAAAGACTATTTTACCCGTTTTCAATTGTTTATTAAATAATAGCATGAGAGTAAAATGGACATTTCATACATTAGTCTCATGAGATACCAATCCCATAGAAATAATCCCACCTCTCTCCCAGGATACAATAATCGCTTATATGAGGAACTATTAGTCCGAAACAAAAAAATTGAACAAAAAAATGGTCTAATCTCATGGAATAATCCCTCAAAACAAACACACTCTAACAAGTTCATCTTTCTTTTCCACATTTGGGATATTGTGTTTCTGTAATCAAACAAAACAAAACAAATTCCATGTGTTTCCTTTCCTTCGTCATATATAAGGCATTTAGTTTGTTGATTTCTGAAGTGGAGAGGTATAATGCAGGTGCAATTTGTGCCCTATGTCTTGTCAAGGGCTTCTCGAAAGCATTCAAGGAGGAGAAAACACCGATTCTTTCATGGTCTCAACAAAAGGGCTTGAAAACCAATTCTTGTTTATGATGTCGCATCCTCGTAGCTTAATTTGCCTACATATATGGCCAGAGATTCCCGATGTCTGAGTCGAGTTGGACACGCTTTTTTGTACACTCACTTCGTATGTAAAGGTCCTGTTTGGTGCAGTTTAAAAGCTATTTATTTTAGCTTTCAGCTTAATTTAAGCTATTTTGATGTGTTTGGTTTAGCTTATAGCTTATAGCTTTTTGGAAGTCAGAAATCAACTTATTCTTTGAGTGGGGCAGGAGATGTTTAATTTATAAGTCAGAAATCAGCTTATATTCATAGTTATAAGTTATAAGTTGTTTAAGCATAAGCTATAAGCACTTTTCAACAGTTCTACCAAACATGGCCAAATTTTGAGAATAAATTGACATAATTTTTTGACAGAACATTTCTTTTATAATTTTTTCATCCGTGGCATTCAGTGTACGGTGAAAAAATAGTTCCTCTCATTGAAAATGCAATGAAATTAAACAATAATAATGAAATTATTAGAGACGTATGCAGGTTGGTTTTTGAAATGAATAATCTCAACAAAACTATTGTTGCCGGTTGACAATTTCTTAATCCACCATCGTCCCACAAGCCTTCAAAATGGTTCAAGTATTTTAGCAAGTTTTGAACGAGTGGGTTTGGTGGATTGGTGGGTTGTAAATGGGATCTAGTTGGGGGTTAATTTATGAAAAATGTTTAAGGTCTGGGTTGAGAGAAGCCTGCAAACTCCACAGTGAACCACACAGGAGTTGATATGAGAACTAACAGAATGGCTCAATTTGTAAAACTTGGGACTGAAAATTGTAGGGCTTTTTACCCTGGGGTTAGAGGGAGTCCTTCCAGAAATTCACAATGGCCAGGGCTAAACCCAGGCCTAAGAGGGGGTTTGGAAATAGTTTTCCACCAGCAACTGCCGTGTCTCGGTTATTACCTCACTAGTTGCGTCGTTGCCCCAAGTGCAAAGATGAGTTTAAACAGCTTCACCTTCTACAGCTTATATAGATCACCATACCTGCTCTGGTTTCTTTCTCGGCCAATGTGGGATTTATGGTTTCCATCTCTTTATGTTTTTAACTAGTGGTAACTCGTGCTATGCACGAAAAAATAGACTAATATATATTTTGTATGATAAAGAAATCATCTTAATCTTAAATTATATCTTAATAGCGACAATACATAATATTAAGCTATCTAGGTAGATGTTAACAATAATTAACCTACAAAATTTTACAATAAAATTTTATATGCATAAGAAATTATTAATTATAAAAATTGTTGAGAATAATAGTATCACAATCACTTGATAACATAAATAACTTGTATCAAACTAAACTAAACAAAACATTAAAAGAGAGAAATTCTATAAGTTCAGAAAAGTTATCATAAATTTATTTAGACTTTTAAATCAGTGGTGTATATTATTATTGTGGAATCAAATTATGAATAAATATTAACTTTTAATTATAATTTATAAGTAGTTTTTAAAAAAATTTAATCTGAGTTTGTTGCCTTACTTATAAAAAGAACTTCTTAAACAAATCATTAATTGATTATATTAGCAACTCTCTATCTTTTTATTTAATATATAATTTTAAATTAACAACACTAAAAAAATAATTTATAAATGTTCAAAAGACTATTTTACCCGTTTTCAATTGTTTATTAAATAATAGCATGAGAGTAAAATGGACATTTCATACATTAGTCTCATGGGATACCAATCCCATAGAAATAATCCCACCTCTCTCCCAAGATACAATAATCGCTTATATGAGGAATTATTAATCCGAAACAAAAAAAATTGAACCAAACAATGGTCTAATCTCATGGAATAATCTCTCAAAACAAACACATTCTAACAAGTTCATCTTTCTTTTCCACATTTGGGATATTGTGTTTCTGTAATCAAACAAAACAAAACAAATTCCATGTGTTTCCTTTCCTTCGTCATATATAAGGCATTTAGTTTGTTGATTTCTGAAGTGGAGAGGTATAATGCAGGTGCAATTTGTGCAATGCAGGTGCAATTTGTGCCCTATGTCTTGTCAAGGGCTTCTCGAAAGCATTCAAGGAGGAGAAAACACCGATTCTTTCATGGTCTCAACAAAAGGGCTTGAAAACCAATTCTTGTTTATGATGTCGCATCCTCGTAGCTTAATTTGCCTACATATATGGCCAGAGATTCCTGATGTCTGAGTCGAGTTGGACACGCTTTTTTGTACACTCACTTCGTATATAAAGGCCCTGTTTAGTGCAGCTTAAAAGCTACTTATTTTAGCTTTCAGCTTAATTTAAGCTATTTTGATGTGTTTGGTTTAGCTTATAACTTATAGCTTTTTGGAAGTCAGAAATCAACTTATTCTTTGAGTGGGGCAGGAGATGCTTAATTTATAAGTCAGAAATCAGCTTATATTCATAGTTATAAGATAATAATCATATGTGTTGGACTTTTCAATGAATTAAATGTTCTTTTTTTTATTATATTATATTAAAGTTTAATAGTTTAATAATAATCATATGTGTTGGACTTTTCAATGAATTAAATGTTCTTTTTTTTATTATATTATATTAAAGTTTAATAGTTTAATAATAATCATATGTGTTGGACTTTTCAATGAATTAAATGTTCTTTTTTTTATTATATTATATTAAAGTTTAATAGTTTAATAATAATCATATGTGTTGGACTTTTCAATGAATTAAATGTTCTTTTTTTTATTATATTATATTAAAGTTTAATAGTTTAATAATAATCATATGTGTTGGACTTTTCAATGAATTAAATGTTCTTTTTTTTATTATATTATATTAAAGTTTAATAGTTTAATAATAATCATATGTGTTGGACTTTTCAATGAATTAAATGTCTTTTTTTTTATTATATTATATTAAAGTTTAATATTTTGATAATAATCATATGTGTTGGATTTTTCAAGAATTTTTTTTTACGCTTATTCTTAATGCATTAAAGTATTATTATGAGGGATAACAATCATATGTGTTGGAACTTTTTAAGGAATTCATATGTGTTGGATTTCAAAGAATTTTTTTTATGCTTGTTCTTAATGCATTAAAGTATTATTATGATAGTAAGACTTGGGAGTTGGGAGAAGTTAATAAATGCTAAGATTTTTTTTTTTAAATCAAAAAATCAGAAAATTTAGATTGGGAGATTAGAGCTCCCACAAGGCTTGGGGTTAAAAACCCCCTTTTGCTTAATATATAGTACTAGCGGTAACCCGTGCGATGCACAGAAAAATAGATTATATAAATTTTGTGTGATAAATAAATCATCTTAATCTTAAATTATATCTTAATAGCGACAAGCCATAATATTAAGCCATCTAGGTAGATGTTAACAATAATTAACCCACAAAATTTTACAATAAAATTTGATATGCATAAGAAATTATTAATTATAAAAATTGTTGAGAATAATAGTATCACAATCACTTGATAACATAAATAACTTGTGTCAAACTAAACAAAACATTAAAAGAGAGAAATTCTATAAGCTCAGAAAAGTTATCATAAATTTACTTGGACTTTTAAATCAGTGGTGTATATTATTATTGTGGGATCAAATTATGAATAAATATCAACTTTTAATTATAATTTATAAGTAGTTTTTAAAAAATTTTAATCTAAGTTTGTTGCCTTGCTTATAAAAAGAGCTTCTCAAACAACTCTCTATCTTTGATTTCCTCTATCAATGACACACCCATATCATATCAAAGTATAAATTATTCTCCATAGTTTGAATAATACTTGCATAGTTCCTACGTCATTTTAAAAAAATTAATCAAGATAAGAATGCCATAGTATTATAAAAATTATATAAGATAATAGTTTTAATCCATTTTATTTATAAAAAAATAATAAAAAATTATTTGAATTGTACTTGAAAAAATATAACAAATGATAACTTTAATCATTATATACTCAAAAAAAAATTATATCGGTTACTTAACGAAAAATGGCCAAATACAAATAGAGTCATGAACATTGAATTAAATCATATGGGCTCTAAATTGATAGTATAATCTAGCAAATCAACTAATAATAACATAGAGATATTGACAAATATGTAGTACTTCCCTATCATGTTTGTATTAATTCATTAATTTCATATATTATATGAAAGTTTTATTCGTCTTGATCCTTCAATAAAATAAGGGTCAAGAAAACAAATTTGATAAGAAATTGATTCTAAACTTAATTATTGAAAAAACAAAAATTTCAAAGAGAGAATTTAGAGATGAGATTGAAGAAATACTATAACGAATGACAATCTTATAAAAAAATTTAAAAAAAAACCATAACAATGATCTAATGCAAATTATTTTTAATAACTAATAGAAAGAATCTCAAATTATTACCTTTTATAAATATAGTAAAAAAAATTAATTTTGTGAGATTTTTGTGCTACCTTCTCCCATGTAGCCTTTATTATTTCATTATTAATACTGTTCTCATTCAGAGCGATATATATATTTTTTTATAATCTTTATTATTTGGTAGATAATAATGAATAATAAAAATTATCAAGAGAAGGTTAAGAATTTAATAGGAGATAAGAAGTTATAGATAAGAGCATTCCATAAGATAAAAAATTTAAAATAAAAAAGATAATATGTGATAGGAGAAAAAAAAAATGAGTAAATCAAAATAAAGATTTAGATATATATGTTTTTGATAGATATATAGATTAAAAAATCATATCTTTATTTAAATTTTATTATTTTAATTTTTTGAAAATCAATTATTTAATATTTATCTTTATCTGTAGGCCATGAAATTAATCTTTATAAATTATTTATCAATTTTTATATGTTTATTTATCTATAAGTCATGAAATTATTTTTTTAAAATAATTTTTAAAATTTATCTTTATCTATAGGTCATGAAATAAATTTTCATAAATTATTTATGAATTTTTAATTAAAGTACGAAATGAGGGGGGGGGGGGAAGAGAGTAATTTTGTTTGTTAAAAAAAAATCAATTATTTAATCTTTATCTTTATTTGTAGGCCATGAAATTAATTTTTATAAGTTATTTATCAACTTTTATTTGTTAATTATGGGAAGAAATTTTAAATTATCTATAAGTTATGAAATTAATTTTTTTAAATTAATTGTTTATTTTTTATCTTTATCTGCAGATTATAAAATTAATTTTCATTTTTTATATGTTTATGTATATGGAGGAATTTTGAAATTCAAATCTTTATCCATAAGTAATGAAATTAATTTTAATTTTAATTAATCAAACAAATAAAAAATGAAGAAAAATAGAAAACATGAAAGGAAATCAAATAAGATTGCCACGTAGGAAAGAGAGTGTTTTAAAATTATGAAAATTTAAGAATAAATATTTGGAGGCTTTTGACAAAATAACTACGTTTGGTTATATATAGAAGTATAGATCTCATATTTCAGCCGCTCCTAACCCTACTTTTGCTTGGGTTTCTAACCAACCAAACATAGTGGAGTTGGGTTTGGTGGTATAACAAAAAATGCAAAAACACAAATTAACATGGTTCTGATCAGGTGTGTGGGGAGGGTAACCCCAACCTAAGGATGTAAATTTGGTCCATTAGCCCGCAACTCACCCGAAACTTGCCTGCGACCCTGTGCGGCCTAGCCCGGCTAGGCCTATCCAGGCCCAGGCCCAAGCCTAGCCCAAGACCCTGGGCTTGGGCCGCCTGTTTCAAAGCCTGGTTTGGCCCGTAAGCCTGGACCAAAGCCCCTCCCATCGGCCTGTTTAAAGCCCACTCGAAGATCGGCTCACCTAAGACCTAGTGTCATTTTTTCGTAAGAAAAAATAAAATTATGATAAAAAGAATAGAAAAAAAATAATAATCAAGCTTAGCCGAAACCCTAACCCAAATCTCGGCCTGCGGGGCCGGTCGGCCAATCCACCCAAGGACATAGTATCTCTGGGACTGGGCCTAATTTTTTGGCCCGAAACCCAAATTTTGACAAAAGCTCGCATGACCAGACATCGGACTAGGCCAAATTTACACTCTTGCCCCGACCCCACCCCTGACTGGACCGTGTATTATTCAAAATATAGTCATTTTTGTTTCATATATTTTCACTGTTATTTGTTGATATAAAATGATTTTTGAAGTCCCCCCCCAATATTTTTTGAATATTGCATCTCCTCTCTTTTCGCAATTGCATTTTACTCTGTAATAGGGGTGAACAGCGGATATACCGATCCGTCTAAACCGACCGAACCGATCCGCCGCATTTTGGACGGATACGTGATGACGAGTGGACGGTAGTGGATTAATTTTTTTCAATCTGCCTAGTTTTGGACGAATGGCAGATTTGAGGGTCCTTTGGCCGCAACTGAACCGCCACACCGCAAGCACCCCTAATCATTTGTAAAACTTTGTGTTTTCAATTTGTTTAGATATTTTATTTTTGTTTTCAATTGAAAAAAAGTTTAAATATTTTTTTAAAAAAAATTTTCAACTTGAATATATTTTTTGAATTGAAAAATATAAATGTATTATTTATCTATCTATATATATATATATATATATATTTTAAAATCTAACTCTAAAAATAATGAATAAAAAAGATTATATATGTTGGTTGGTTTTTATTTTTAAAAACAGATATAGATGTAACAATACAAAGGTATACATGCACATATTGTAATACTTTTTAAAGTCTTTTAACTGTAATACTTTTTTTTTAGGAAGTGCACAAGTTGAATTATGTTGAAAAATTTATAAAATTTTAAATTGCCAAATCGATTTGCATCCATCCGCCAATCTGCCAATCCGCTCAATCCACATCTGCCGGATTGGCAGATGGATGCAGATTGATTTTCTCCAATCCGCCAATCTAGCGAACGGATGACGGATTAGAGGTTCTGTGGCCGCAAACGACCCGCGCCCACCCTTACTCTGTAATTGCACTGAATTGGGCAGGAAGAGTCAGGTTGGGGTCTTACAGGTTTTCGGATATGGAGGCAATGTTCACTTAACTGTGGTTAGGGTGGAGAAGGGGGTATCCCGACCCATACCCGCCCCATTGCCATCCCATGAGTGGGCCTTTCTCCACGAATTCCAATTGCAACGAGAAAGACAGACAAAATGTTGCATTGTGTTGGCTGATGAATGTGGCCTGATATTCTCTGGTTCAAGTCTGCAAAGAGGGATGGGAAATAGTGCCAGGGCCGGCCCTAAATTTCCGGGAGCCTAAGGCGAAATAATTTTTCAAAGCCTTTCTAGATATTAAAATAAAAATAAAAATAAAAATCACTCTGTTTAGTTTAGAGTTTTCAAAAATAATTGTCTGAATCTATAATTCATATATTTTTTTTTTATTTTTTGTATTTGGTAACGTTTTTAAAAAATATATATATAAATATTATAGTTTTTAAGTGTATCTAAATTAGATGTATCTACAAAATAAATAAATAAAAATTGTGTAAAATATTTTTTAAAAAAAATATTAAAAAACACAAAATTAAGCCATAAAAAGAAAAAAATAAGCCACACAAAATTAGGCTAACGACTAACACATATACATATATTTAATATTTTAGTTTAGAGTTTTCAAAAATAATTGTCTGAATCTACAATTCATATATTTTTTTTATTTTTTGTATTTGGTAACGTTTTTTAAAAAAATATATATAAATATTATAGTTTTTAAGTGTATCTAAATTAGATGTATCTACAAAATAAATAAATAAAAATTGTGTAAAATATTTTTTTAAAAAAATATTAAAAAACACATAATTGAGCCATAAAGAGAAAAAAATAAGCCACACAAAATTAGGCTAACGACTAACACATATACATATATTTAATATTTTATTTTTTTAATTGGACTAACAACTAAAACTTATAAATATTTGGGTTTTTTACTGGCCAGTCCTGAGTTTTGCACTTATTCCCTTCTTAGTCCTGACTTTTGATCTTGTGCACCAACAGGTCCTGAGCCTTTTTTTTTTTGGTACCGTTTTACCCCTCCCCTGTTCTGGCGCATTTCTGTTTGGATTTTCTATCAAAATATTGTGTTTGTGATTTGGATTTCTGTGGAACTTCACGATTTGCTACTGTATTATTATGGAGTTTCGTGATTTCTGATTTCACGCTTGGTGTATCTTCGCGATTTGTGATTTGCGATTGCGTGCTTGGTGATTCTTCCTATTTGTGATTTCGCGTTTGGTGTATAGTTACATTTTCTGTTTTGCGGTGTTGTGGAGTTAGGTCGACTGGTTTGTTTGATTTTGATTTCAATTTCAATGTTTTGGTTCTTTTTAGTTTGAGTTGATGATTTTGATTTTGTGGTGATATTGTTGTTACTCTATTGTTTCTGTTGCGATTGAATTTTTGTTTTGATCATGATATTGAAAGTTTTGAGATATGTATTTGTTGATTGAATTTTAGATTTTTATTTTTTTTTGTTACGAAATTGTGTTGATTGAACACAGGTGTTGGTTTGTTATTTTATACAGTGATAATTTTATCACTGTGTATTTTGGGGGTGATGTTGGATTAACTTTTTCAACAGTGATAAATTTATGAGTGAGTATGGGAATAGGAGATGAAAAGGTTGCATAATGTAATGGTAAGATTCAAATCGAATTACCATGTCTAATAAGTGTAAGCCTTATTCACTGTTCTTGGTCTTTGGTAGTGTTAACTGTTGAAGTTATCAGTGTTGGTTTTTGGATGTGTTTGAGTTGGTTGATAATTTTATCACTGTATTTGATTTTGTTTTAGGGTGTTTGAATTGTTTGCTGCAATGTAATTGTTGTTTGTTGCAGGATTTATAGTGATGGAGAATTGTTTGTTTCTTATGTGCAAGTTTAGAGGTGTGACATTGGTTATCGAGTATAATGATGGATTTAATTTCAAGGATTTAGTATACAAATTGTGTGCAAAGTGGAGTGAGTTAGTTGGTAGTTCTATGAATACATCGTATTCAATGCCTGGATATTCTTCTTGTGGTCTACAAAGTGAAGAGGATTTGGAGGTTATGGTTGGATTGGCACTTTCTTGTGATATTCATCGTATTGATGTTTTTGTAAAGGGTTGTTCTTTAGGTGAAGGTTATATGATTTGTGATGGTGAAGCTAGTAGTAGCAGTAGTGTTGTTTGTGAAACTAATTTTTTGCCTTCATTTTATTCAAATCAACGGAAACCTTTACTCTTCGATGGGTGGGTTAATTGTATGAAAGGAGTGGGACAAAGGTTTGCTCAAGAAGTTGTTGAATTTCGAGATGCGCTGTCAAAGTATTCTATTCATTCTGGTTTTCATTTTGATTTGGTTCAGAATGATAAGGATCGTGTCACTGTTCATTGTAAGAGAAGGGCTGATTTGGAATGTTTATGGAGCGTGCATGCTAGAGTGAAAAATTATAGTAAAGCTTTTGTTATTAAACAATTTGATGATGTTCATACTTGTGGATCTTCTTTTCGTACAATTAAACATGCTAGAATGACTTCAAGTTTGATTGGTGGGCTAATTTCAAGTGATATTCGTAATAAGGCTTTGACATCGGTTAGTGAGGTGGTTTGTCATTTCAAGGACTATTATGGAACAAAAGTTTCTTATCGGCGAGCTTGGATGGGTGTTGAAAAAGCAAGGGGTCTTGTTTTTGGTGACTATTCATTATCATTTGACGATCTTCGTTGGTATGTTGATGCCGCTAATGCTTACAATTCGGGGAGTGTTTTTGATATGGAATTTGATATTGATAGTAAAGGAAGACATTTCAAATGCTTGTTTTTCCCTTTTGAGGCATGTATTCATGGTTTCAAGTATTGTAGGCCTATGTTGATGCTTGATGGAACTTTCTTAAAAGGAAGACACAAAGGTTGTTTATTGGCTGCTACGGAAAAAGATGGTAACCAAGGTATATTTTGTGTCTATGTGTTATTATTATTGAAACAGTGATAATTCTATCATTTTTGTTACTGGAGAGTGCTGATTATTGAGTATGGTCAATCTATTAGTGATAAATTTATGCTATATACTTTTGTTAAATTTTTATATTTATACAGTGATAAATTTATCTATGACTGGTGCTATATGTTATATACTTTGTGTTTTGAATTTCTTTTTGTAATTTTTTTTATTTGTTACTGATAACGTATATATATATTTTTGTTTGTAGGTTTATATCCATTATATTTTGCTATTGTTGATAGTGAAAGTTATGACAGTTGGCATTGGTTCTTGTCAAAGTTAATAGGTATTTTGACTCCGGGGAGGGATATTGCGTTTGTTACTGATCGACATGGAGGTTTGCTGAAAGCTTTAGCTGAGATCTTTCCATTTTCTTGTCATTCTTTTTGTCTAATGCATTTGAAGATAAACTTGAAGACTTATTCGTCAGTGAAGAGTCGTTAATCTAAAGAGTATTTGCTTACTCTTTTAATAGATGTGCATATGCTCCTACTGTTGAGTTGTTTAATGAGCTATTTGAAGAATTTAAGGGTCGTTGTGGTCGTAGTGTCGAAAAGTTTCTTGAGGATTTGCCTAATGAGTGTTGGTGTAACGCTTATTTTCAAGGCAAGAGGTATGGTGAAATGTGCACAAATGCTGCGGAATCTTTTAATTCATGGATTAGGGATGAATGGCATTTGTTTTCAACTAGTCTTGTTGATGCTATACGGGTGAAACTAATGGAGCAATTTTCAAGAAGGAGAGAAGTTGGGAATAAGTAGAATCGTATTGTTTGTCTTTTTGTAGAGAAAAAGTTGGGAGAAGCTTTCAATGATACAAAAACATGGATAGTTAAGAAATGTAGCGATGACATTTGTTAAAATTGATGTATTATTGATTGTTGTATATTGTGTTTACAATGAGTCCTATATATAGAAGATTAGAGGAGGTAGGTATGTAGTAGGTGGAGTAGTAGGTGGAGTAGGTGAAGTGGGTGGAGTAGGTGTAGTGGTAGGTTTTGGTACATTTTAACAACATTTATGAAATCCAATTGGATCATTCAGTTATGGTTGATATTGGGAAACGTTGTTGTTCTTATCGATTGTGGGAAATTGATTCTTTTCCTTGCAAACATGGTTTTTGTGCTATAAAGAGGAGTGGGAAAGATCTGAATTGCTTTCTTGATGATTACTATCGTGTTAGTAGTTATTGTGATTCTTATTCACATTCTATCTATCCAGTTCCTAGTATGTGGAGGCCAAATGTAGTTGTTGATGATGACATTGTTTTACCTCCTCTTTGTAAGAGATCAGCTAGACGTCCAAGACCGGAGAGAATGCCTTCTAAGGGTGAAATCAAGAGAATTAGATGCAGTAGGTGTGGAAAGATGGGAACTCATAATCGGAAGACATGTAAAGAAGCTTTGCTTTAGTTGTATTGATTTTAATTGAATTATTTTTTTGAGAGTTGAGAGGTGTTACTTGCATTGAATGATTGAGGAATTTGTTGATAAGAAATTATATTTTTTGTTAATATTTTTACAAGATTAAGTTTCACAGATTTATATTATTTGATTTGGGTTAAATGTAGTTGTTGTTTTTGGTATTTTATAAAGTGATAAATTTATCATTGGTTGGTTTGGACAAGTTGATGGATTTTTTTTTGTAAGAATGATAAATTTACCATTAATGTGGTTCTTGAATTTTGTTATTTTGAAAATTGATAAATTTATCACTTATTGTGTGGGAAGAGTTGATGGTTTATTACATTTATGTCAGTGATTGATAAATTTATCACTGTCATATCCAAGAAATTTTATTTTCTACAGTGATAAATTTATCATTGTCTGGAGTTATCTAGTTTTCCTAGGAAAAATTTCCACAATACAAAGGTGTAGATCAAATCTCTAGAATACATAATTGCATATCTGCTGTGTTAACTGCTTTAAAAAGCAAAAAAAATTAGATCAACTACCATGTTTATCTGGTTTAGCAACAAGTTCTCAGTCTGCATAATGTTTTGTGGTCACTCAGAAGCTAGCTTTGGATGTTTGAGTTGTTTAACGGAAGTATCAAATGATTTTGATTATTCAGAAATCACTAAGGATGGCATGTTCTTACATTCATTCTCAAGTTGAGAATATTTACAAATTGTAACAGTATTTTAATTTCCAATTTGGACAATGTAATAGTGCTTGTGTTTTAATTTTCAATTAAGTAAATTTTTTATTATTTTTTATAGTGTTTTGTTTACTTGAATTGGGGAAAAAGAATGAGAGACAGACAGAGAGAGAGAGAGAGAGAGAGAGAGAGAGAGAGAGAGTCGCTGGTCTTTTTGTTTGAACATTGGTAAATTTATCAGTGTTCACAAATGATTTTGATTATTCAGAAATCACCAAGGATGACATGTTCTTACATTCATTCTCAAGTTGAGAATATCTACAAATTGTAACAGTATTTTAATTTCCAATTTAGACAATGTAATTGTGCTTGTGTTTTAATTTTCAATTAGGTAAATTTTTTATTATTTTTTATAGTGTTTTGTTTACTTGAATTGGGGAAAAAGAATGAGAGAGAGAGAGAGAGTCGCTGGTCTTTTTGTTTGAACATTGGTAAATTTATCAGTGTTCACAGTGATAAATTTGTTGAAACAGTTATAAATTTATCAGGGTAAACAAAACACTATAAAAAATAAATTTATAAGTATAGTGACTCCAAACATGTTATTACCTTTTAAATTCAACAAAAATACTCAGATTAGAATCAATTTTTTGAATGAAATTTGGATAACAAGACTGATATAAAAAACCAGGTCTGGTAACGATATGGCTAAAAAAGACTGAATGTTTCATTGAAGTGAGATTGTAACAAGCAAGCATTGTCCATAACTTTGACATTGTAACAACGAAGCACTGTCCATAATTTTGACATTGTAATAATGAAGCATTGTAATATTCATTGGAGGAAAGTAAGAACCAAAATCATCAAAATACAGGTAACACTGTAACAATCAAACAAGCAAAATGTATGAAGTATAGACATTCTAACAACCAAATGAATCAGTGTTTCCTTTTGTTTTCTTCTATTCCAGATCTGTTGGTTATTGCAGAGGGAAGTCATCAATGTTTTAATCAGTTATTTGTCGTTGAGGAACTTGTTGGTCAGTCAAGAAGATAGTTAACATATCAGCTCTTAATTGATTGCATTCTTCCTTGGAAAAAGTAGGCATTATGTTGTTATTGGAAACATATTACCTGATGATGTAGCAAACAAGGATTCTGCAATCAAGCCTGCAAAAACATTTTGAAAACAAAATATTATAATTTGGTTTTGTTGCTTTTTTTTTTTTTTTAATAACAGTGTTTTGTTATTGATAAACTTACGATGTGTCTTCTTGTTGTGGACTGTTGATGACGTTCTCTGTCTGTTGTTGAAATTTATCAGGGTGAATGAGAGTTGGGTTCTCATCCTTTATGTATTTTTCAATAACCTCTCTCTGCAACATATACATTTGTATAATTGTTGTATTAGAAAATCAGTTGAAACAATTAATGAGAAACCATGGATTTAAAAAATGATAAATATATTACTGTATAAATTTTTGATGTATAATTAAGCATGGATCAGGATATATGTATTGGATTAATGGTAAGTTTGATAGTGAAAAGATTTTTACCACTTCATTTGCAGCATTGAAATGTGGATCTTTAGTCATTGTTCCCCTTGGTCTCATCGAATTGTAGAATTTCCATGAAGCTTCTTCAATGTCAAGGACAAGTATTGTCCAGTGAAAATTTTGGTGGATTGGGAAGAGAAAGTATCTTGCTTTCATGGCTTTTGGCATCATTTTGTTCAGCATTCTTTGTTTTGCTTCCTCATCTTTTGTAGTGAACAAGTGCTAATAAATATAAATAAAAAAAAATAATGTTAATTTAACTTTAAACTTTTTCAAATTAAATAGGTGGTGAGTATGAAACTTTTTGTCAGTGTGATCAAAATTTTATCAATCCATATCAAAATGTATCAGTGCATTGCAAAATTCATCTATACTACTGTAATAACCTCGATCCACAACTAGCCACTAATCGGTAGTTAAGGATGTTAATTAAGTGAATAAAATAAATTATGGGTTTATTATGTGATTTGCATGATATTTGACTTACTATCTGTTACTTGTAGAAATATCTGTCTAGAATTTCGCTTTAATATGTAAATTGAAAGTCTTATCGGCATCCGAAACCGAAATTGACTACACCCATATGTTATTTAGAATTTTTAGAAACATATGGAAAATTTTATTAAAAATTGATTCAGAACGATTAATTAAGTCATGTTTGGTTAGCCTAATATTCTAATTAATGTGTTTTAGCACCATAAGCTTATATGAGCCTAATAAGCTCATTTGAACTCATTTGTTTCATCTCCATTGAGTGGAAAAAATCTGGTGAGACATTTTAGAGAGAGATGGAGCACAATTCTAGAGAGAGGAAGGAAGAGATTGAAGGTTTTGTGTTGAATTCACCAAGATTGTGCTAGAACAAAAGTAATTCAAGACTCTAGGTAAGATTACAACCTCTAGACTGTGTACCTAAGTCATTTAACATGAAATTTCTTCAAGATTATGAGTTTGATGTGTGTATTGAGCTTAGAAGAAAGATTTAGAGTTAATTCATGCATGCATGTACATTTTCTTACAAATTGAGCATGATTTCCTTGAATCCTCTCTTGCATGT